CAGTTTAAACCCATTGTTTCTGGTTCTATCCTTAGAGGCTAAGGTGAACAAGTTCTCTCCCTCCTATTTAGTGGTGATTAGAATTGTTCAGAAACTGTGTTAGATATGTTAGACGCTTCAGGAGTAACGTGCAAAGCCTGTCTGGCCTGCACTGCAAATCAAGTCCGTTTCTACTCTGAACTAAAGCAATGTCTTAGAATCCTTTACTTCACTGTGGTCTCTGAAAAAGGTAGTCTCTGTTTAGCTAATACCACAGATTTACAGCAATATATGGCAAGAAGAGATAAGGACTTTAAGGACTACACATTATCTGTGATCGGTTTATCTTATCCGTTAGATTAATTACCGTAACTGCTTTTTAAAAATGTTATCCTTAAAAGAAAATCTGAATACCCATCAGACAACCTCATATGGACCCTGCCATTGGGCCAGGAGCTTGCCCTCGGAACTGGGGAGGAGCAATAGCATGCAGTCTCCCCAGCTGAAAAACCCTCTCCAGGTGCCTTTGTTGTAGTTTTGAGCCTGAGCCTGATGGGCGTCTAGGAGGTTCTCCTTCATAAATTGTCCCACCTGTTCAAGATGCTCGTACATTTGTAGGACCTTCTGTAACATGGTTTGAGACCATGACTACTGCTTTTCCCTGGCATCTTTTAAGGAGGTCCAGGATTCCTCAAGGCTGTCAGCCATATAAAAGTTCAAAAGGTGAGAAGCCTGTTGAGATCTGGGCACCTCTTGTACTCCAAAGAGGAGATAGCTCAGGGGTGGGGAGACAGACTTTTCCATAACCCTATCACAGGTGATTTGTTTCCGCAATCTTTATTATGATGGCTAAAGAAGACCTGAAAGGTGGGCTTTTTAATGTTTTTTTTAAAAGGTGCTTGTTTTCCTGCTTTCTTCATCTCAGAAATATCAGAGCTTTTATCTCCTGCCTTTTATGTCATAATTCCACTACTTGGCCAATCACCCTGACTCTAAGATAGACTAGACCTGAATTTTTAAAGTTTAAAAAAAAAAGGGGGGGGGGAAATCCCATACACTTTATATTAAAAAAAAAATCAGAAAAACAGGAGGGAAACAAAAGTGCATTTCTTTTTTCTTCACAGGACAATTTCAAGGGGATGGTAAAGCATTTGTCGATGAGAAACTCTCACCATTGCTGAATAAAAATTAAGGGCTTGTTTCTGCAGTCTTTACTTAGATTAAATGCCTAATGATATCAATGGGAGCAGAATCAGGCCCTATAATTGTACACCTAAAAATCTGCAGTACATAAAGATACATCTTTTTACAGTAAACATGTTTGTTTCACAGATTCACCCCTTTTGCAAATGGACCAGATGACACCCCAGAAGAGATACTGGCCAGGATTGGCAGCGGAAAATATGCACTTGCAGGAGGAAACTGGGATTCAGTGTCCGATGCTGCCAAGGTCAGCAGATTCTTCATGTTTTTATTCTGCTTTCTAAAAAGGAGTCAGTCCTTCTGCAAGATGTAAGGTTCTTTTAAGCAAGCGGAGGTGAAAGCAGCAGCTGTATTAGTTCCGTAAATTCTATTTTAATGAGAACTATGTAAAAATGGTTGTGTGACTGATTACATTATGCATTTCTGTAACCTATTTCAGGAATGTAAGACATAATGCAGCATCATAACATAGATAAATGAAATTTAATATCCAAGTCCAACAAAAAATCCTTTTCAATTTGGTTGAACTCTTCAAAATATATAGGGCAGCCCAAAACTGCAAATGTCCAGTTTAATTGTGGATCACTGTGTGACCCCTGAAGGTAAACCCTTTAAAAGGCAACCCATAAATTAGTATTTTTAACATGCACTTAGGTATGTTTGTTGTTATAGTTTTGTATTGTTACTAATACTTTGCCTTTGCATAGCACTTTTCATTCCAGTATCTCAGTTGACTTTACAAACATTGATTTCTCTCTCACAGTCACTTGTGAGGAAGGTAAATATCCTGGTCCTGATTTTACAAATGAGAAAAGTGCAGCACAAAGTGATTATGGCCAAAGTTTTCAGTAATGGCCACTAATTTTGGGTACCCAAATTTGTGATACCTTGGGCCTGGTTTTCAGAGGTGCACAGCTCCTCTTGACTTCATCTGAAGTAGTGGGCACTCAGCCAGGCCCAAGGTGTATCTCAAATGGACACCTGTACCTCCAAGTATTGGTCACTTCTATACATTTTAGCCAAAGTGACTTGCCCAAAGTCACAAAAGAAGTCTGTGGAAGAGCTGGAATTAGAACAAATATCTCCTAAGTTCTAACCACAAGACTATCTTCATTTCTCTTGGTCTCTTCTGGCCTTAAACTCTAAAGAATACATTAGATCATCTAATCTGGCCTCCTGCATATTAGTGACCATAGAATTTCACCCAGTTACCTCTGTATTGAGCCGAATAACTTGTGCTTGACTAAACCTTATCTTCTAGCCTTGATTTGAAAATGTTAAGAGATGGAGAATCCACCACTTCCTTTGGTAGTTTGTTCCAATTGTTAAAAATTTGTGCCTTATTTCCAATTTGAATTTTTCCGGTTTATGCTTCTAATCATTGGTGGTCCTTATATCTCTCTCCACTAAAGTAAAGAGCCCTTTAGTACCTGGTCTTTTCTCGCCATGGAGGTACTTAAATATTGTAATCAATCAAGTGACCTTTCAATCTTCTCTTGATAAACTGGACAAATTGCACTCTAAGTCTCACTGTAAGAAATTTTCTCGAGCCCTCAAATCATTTTTGTGGCTCTTCTTTCTGCACCCTCTTCAGTTTTTCAAGAACCCTTTTTAAAACATGGACCCAGCACTGTGCACAGTATTCCAGGATATGTCTTACCAATGCCATGAACAGAGGTAAAACAGATTTATTTGGGCATAAGATAAAAAAAACCTCACTTCTTCAAATAAATCTGTTAGTCTTTAAGGTACCACCAGACTCCTTGTTGGTTTTGTGGATACAGACTAACACGGCGACCCCCTGATACTTCAATATTCCTGTAGGAAACTATTTTTTCACCTCATTTGTGTGTTGGTTTTCGTTAGTTTTGTTTTCTCATTGTTAGAGAAGTAACTAGTTCATCTCACCTGCGCAGGCCAATTGTCAAATAATGATGTTTTAATAGGGTGTCCAGTTTCATATTAATATGTTCAGATGGTCTCTTAGGTGCTTAAATGTCCGTATGAAATTTGGTTTTACTTATAATTTACAAGGGATTATAAAGGCTTGGATGCATTGCACTGTCCATTTAAATACTGCTGATGAAACTACCATGAGTAAGGGGAAAATCTAAGTAAAAATATTTCCAGCCAGACGCTGAAAACCTCAATTGATGGTTTTTACTTTTCTCCCCCACCCCCTTTCTTTCTCCTTCAACCACAGGATATTGTGTCCAAGATGCTTCATGTAGATCCTCATCAGCGCCTAACAGCAGTCCAGGTGCTAAGACACCCATGGATAGTGAACAGGGAATATCTATCTCAAAATCAACTCAGCAGACAGGATGTTCACCTGGTGAAGGTACACAGCATCTTTTTCTTGAGAAATGTAACTTCCTGAGTAACAGTGAAAAGATAGGATTTGCATTAACAACTTGGAGATACAGGAAATAAGGGGGTTATTTTCAAAGGAGCCCAAGATAAATACGGTATTACATTAAATGTAATACTATTTTACACACATCATCTCCTAGTTATTAGAACTTTCTTCTGTGTTGTAATGAACTAGCGTAAGTAAGTGTGTGTGTGTGTGTATATACACATACCAGTACCCCTTGTGGGGTGGAATTGGAACCACTCAGCTGTGTGCCAGGGCCTATACTACTAACAGCTACTGGAGATTCTCCTTTCTCTTGGTGGGAGGAACTAGGAAAGGGAGGGTAGTAATGAAAGAACTTATTTTAAGCCAAGTATTTTCTCTTTCATTTTGCAGGGTGCAATGGCAGCCACATACTTTGCTTTAAACAGAACACCTCAGGCACCAAGGCTGGAGCCTGTATTATCCTCCAATCTGGCTCAGAGGAGGGGCATGAAAAGACTTACCTCAACAAGGTTATAGCAGACCCCAAAAATGCCTCACTGAAACCCACAGTTTATTATTCAAGAGGTTCATCTTTATTACTCAGATAACAGAACTTTGGACAACATGCACATGAAGTCACCAGAATCAGCAGAAGTCCAGCATAAGGCAAAGTTACCCTTTGCTGTTTTATTTTTTACATTTGGGCCAGGATCCTGAATCAGAAACTTCTCCAAGACGTGCCAATTGCCCTAGTTCCTTATTGACTTAAAGCCAAATAAAATAAGATTCCCTCCCAACCCCAAGTACTATTCTTGAATCCTTAAGATGTTCTGAGATCACTTTTTTAAAAGCACTTTTCACAGTGAAAGCAAGCAGTTTGGTTTAAAAGTTTTCAACTGTGCCAGCATCTGCATCACGGTGAATTGGCTCAACCAGTCAGCAGTATACATCTACTGATCATCAGCTGCACTGAAGCCCATCTCAAAGGACTTGAAGGTTGGGGAGACATGGTGCCAAATACCAGATTTAGAAAAAAATCTGTACTAAGTGAAGGAGAAAGAGCTGTCACTGATGAACACATCTCCTGATTCTGAGAAATCTTGTGAACTCTCCCACTCTCATCTGATGTTGAATAAGGTATGGAACAGTGACAGCCCCTCTAAGAGCAGATGTCACGAGCCTTAATATATTGAGGTTTGGTAGAGAACTCTGGGAACTGCAGTCTCCAAAAGGGATTGTTAGGTCTCATGTGAATGAAGTCAGATGTCTGGCCAAGACTATACGAGTAGGAGCCTGTGGCTGAGAGAGGAGGTAAGCCCTATGTTTGGCCTCTCCATAGTAGCAGGCTTGAGCAAACAAGCTGAAGATGGCTGGTGGAATAGAGCCAGGAAAAGACCTGGGACAGACCTACAGACAGCACACAGAAAGACCCCCAGCAGGGTTATTGCCAGAAGGAAGTCGCTTGGACAAGATAGTGAGGGGGGGGGGGGTGATAAAGTCAGTTGAAACTCACAGTTAGGGTGGCAGGATGTCACCCTTTTTATAACTGTGCCAACCAGACTAGTGGATTATTGAGCCCAGGAGAGGCTAAATGGACTATCATTCTTGTTCCCGCAGGCCTTTTCCTGGGTCTATTCCACCAGACTTCCTCAGTTTGTTTGCACAGGCCTGCTACTCTGGAGAGATCAACCCTAAAGCATATCTCCATCCACTGCCCTCCTTATATAGTCTTGGCTTGTCACCTGACACACACTCCCATAGACATGTGACACTCAACAGTTCCTCCCTGGGAAATGTACTCTCCAGGTTTCCTGCTTTTAAAGGGTCAAACCTTCTATTATGCCTGGGCTCACAGCACTCTCCCATAAAGGAGCCACCTGAGTCTTACAAGGTATTTAAATAATAATAAAGAATACTGTGCTATTGAGACAAAATCAATCATACTCTGCTATCTGGGTTTTCCAGGTGTAATGATGCGGTTCTGGCGGGACCCAACTGAGAGTGCCGATTCAGGACAAATTGCTTAAAAAGGGCAGTTGCA